GCGTTACGCTATTCCGCTGCATGGGTTTGCACCCTAGAGGTTCTCTAGTACGTGCGTATTCGCGTATCGAAGAATCCGACCAATGGCTAACATTCCGCTGTTTTACGTACGCGATTAATATTGTCCTTATGTCCCATGGAGCGGTTCGTGCGTAAGCGGATTAGCGGATCGCCAATCACAGAATCGTTCTGTTAGATTTGTTTGCAAAATTTGGAAACAGATCTAACGGAACAATTCTGTGATTGGCGACCCGCTAATCCGCTTACGCACGAACCGCTCCATGGGACATAAGGACAATATTAATCGCGTACGTAAAACGGCGGAATGTTAGCCATTCGTCAGATTCTTCGATACGCGAATACGCACGTACTGTGATACGCGCCATGGGACGGCACCCTAAACGCGTCAAACGCGACAGTACTAGAAGTTACTATAATCTAGTTATTTCCCCAATGACGCGTGACGCGCGCGTCAAATGACGTGCCCATGATGTGCCCATGAGTTCTTACCTTTAGGCCCTAAACACAATGGCGCATTCAGCAGAAAAGAGCGCTACGAGAGCGCTCACTGTTATTGGTGTATTTTTCTAGATCATCCAATCAGAATTTTAAATCTGGAAGAATATATCAATAACAGCGAGCGCTCTCGCAGCGCTCTTTTCTGCTGAATGCGCCCAATGTGAGGGAATAGCGATAGCGATAAGATTCAACCTATCAAAAATGCGTAATCCGGTGTATTCGATTTGATAAGTTGAAACTTATCGCTATCGCTATTTCCTCGCATTATGTTTAGGGCTTTAAGCCCAAGACACCAAGACACAATTGGGTGCATCCAGAAGCACGACCGCTCATTGAGCTCTTGTACCTGTTTGGTTTATATTTTTAAACCTAATGGAATATGCCAATCAGATAAAAAAGCTCATTGAGCACTTATGCTGGATTCACACTGCATCCGATTTTCGTCGTACGACGATTCTGCAACCAATCAGAAAAATCGTATTATCGATACTAAGCAAAATTTTGTTTCCTGATTAGTTGCAGAGTCGTCGTAGTACGACAAAAAATTCGGATGCAGTGTGAATCCAGCAATAGTAAGCCCGGATCCTCATACGGGCAACAGCGCTTTGACACCAAACGCTGATTGGTGAAAAAC